TTTTTTAAAAAATATATCTGTCACTATCTTGTATAAAAGATAAATTTGAGAGTTTTGCTTTTATCTTACGTGTCACCAAATCACACTCAACATGACCCCACACAAAAAGGGTTGACTTTTGAGAAAACGTCCAGCGGATTCGGTCTGGACCCTGCCCCCACCGCGGCTAGGCGACGGAGGCTGCAGCTAAACCGAAGCCCACTCTGACAGTCAACCAATTTGTCTTGACCTGAGGTGGGGGAATTGGTATGGACGTGTGTTTTATAGGACTTACAAAAGTCAAAGCCGCAAAACTACAAAATTTCCCTCACTTTGAAGCAACCGATCGGCACCACCCTGTGTTCAAAGATAACGTTGTATATTAGCCATGGCCATTTTCTGTCACATGTTCGTTTAAAAGCACTACATTTTGGGTGTCTATACCTTCTAATGCATTATTATTATTTTTTTAATACTGATTGATTGAAGTGGTAACTCTTTCATTTTTTTTATTTTATTTTATTATTTATGTATCGTACAACTTGAATATAACAATTTTTACTTATAATAAAAGAATATTACTACTAAATTAAGTAATTGGTTCTAACGTATTATTGTTTTAATCTTGAAAGAATCATATTTTCTTAGAACATGACTTTGACCACTAATAAAATTGTTAAAATTATCAATTTTGTATTTAATTTAATTAGTATTTGTAATTTTTTTGAAATATATAGTAATAATATTTAAAAATATCAGTTTATAAATTGATTTTAATTTATTAAATAATAAAAATTAATTATTCTATTAGTTATTAATTATTTTGAATAATCAAATCAAACAAATCAATATTTTTTAAAATAGTTTTGGTAGTCTTAACAATTTCATTAGTGCTTATAACCACAACCGTTCTCAACTATAACCACACTTATTTTCTTACCTTTGTAAGTCTTATTTAGAGTCTCAAATTCTTATAAGACATTTTCTTAAAAGTGTTTGTTTGTTTTTTAATTTAGTTTTACAATTGCTTCTTTCTTTATTTTATAAAAATTATTTTATAATTACTCTCTTTTAAAATGTAAGTTGTTTGCCTTTTAAAATAGAATAATTCTGTGCTAAAACTCAACAAATTTTTTATCAATCACTCAACCATAATATTCAACTAAAACGTGTCATTTCTTTTGGTGTAGAATGGAATGGGGATAAGATGAATTAAGCCAATTCTTTAATTAATTATTGAGCTTAGGCCATATTAACAATTTATGATGCTCAACTGCTTAAAGTGGTCCATAAAGAATGAAATGGACGAGTCATTACTTTTAAATTAATTAAGTTAATTAATTAAAGGTATAATTTCATATTTTCTTTAGTGGTTGACTCTTGACTCTTGCTTTGGTCCACCTCCACTCATCCATCCCATCGAAACAATCACAAAATTGAAAATACAAGAATGCAACAAAGTCAAGAGATACGTACAGCCAAAACTTGCACCTAATGCTGATATGTTTAGGCGCAGAAGATAAATGTATCATTCTAAAAACACACACACAAGTAAATTCAAAATTTTAAAGATTATAAAACTATTTACATGCAAAAAGATGAAATATATGAAATCCACACTATAGGTGCAGTGGTTTAACCACTAATTTCATGTGGAATTTACTTGATAGGTTATGTTTAAGTTCACCAATTCTTTTCTTATTTTCCATCCCCCTCCCCCGAATTGTGACAAATTGTATATGTTAAAAAAAAAATGAAATACATATGTACTTTCTCAAAAGGATGAGATTAATTGTATACTGCCATTTTCGCGATAGTGTAAATGCTGGATGATGTGAATTACCCTGCATGCAAAAGAAAACAAAAAAGATCAAGGACCCATCAAAGGTGTGCATCATGCCCTGGTTAGCTAGCTAGTGTACAGTTTACCAAAACTGTAACTGCTGCAAATTTAAACATGTAATTCTTCTTGCCAAAGTCAAACACATATACACAATATATATATATATATATATATGTACAAGACTCTTGTAGTCTTGTTATATAATTTAAAGTAAGACCCCTCACACGTTTACGTCACAAATTCTTCCTCTTCATCTGCTCCACTCTTGCCTTTTTTCTTCATAAAACACTAGTTGCTTTGCATCATCGTCTTTTCATGTCCTTCTTAACTGAGACAGAAATGGAGAAGGAAAATGGTGCTTGGTTTGAGGGGTTTCAGGATGAGGAGCTTGTAAGGGATCTTCTAGACAATGACTCGCCTTTCTTTGTGCTGCCTCAGGAGATGAACGTTCAAGATAAATCAAATTATGAGGAGGCCGCCATAAACAGACTTCTCTCAACTATGTATTCCGGGCCTAGGATGGAAGATATCGAGAATGCTTTATCATCGGTGACAAACTGGAATGACCCAAACCAATCAGTACTTCAACAAGCCAGGTATATATTACTCTAGAAGCCGTTTTTATTTCTTTCTCTTCAATTAGTAAGTATGCTCAACTGCCTCATAATCTAAGATTTTGAAGTTAGTGAATATTAATTTGACTGATCAATTATGAAGCTTTGATTCTACTTGTGAGATATGGGACGTCACATTAATAAAACTGTTTTCACAGAATCTCCATGCTGGAAAGAGGTTTGAGTGGTAAGATAGAGAGCAAGTATATTTTAAAGATCAAGTGTTGCGGCAATGGAATGGCCGATGATGGATATAAGTGGAGGAAATATGGACAGAAATCAATCAAAAACAGTCCAAATCCCAGGTACACCCAATTCTCCCTCACAACCTCTTTAGCAGTTCTCATCGTCCTTAAATTTCCTTATTTTGTTTTTTAAGCATCTGAATGTGTTCAGTTTCCTCAAATTGATACACTTTAGAAAGATAGCAAAAGCATGTTCAATAATATTTCACTTACCTACTTCACATAGGTAGATGCCTAATATATCCTCATAATTTTGTCATTATCCCCTATAAAAAGTAAACAGAAAAAAATACATAAGGACCCATCCCAACTTTTTCCCAAGTAAAAAATTTTTGGCATGTTTAGCTGGCACTTTCCACAAAAAAAGAATTTGGAGAAACTTCATCAAATCAGTATTACTTATTTTCTTTAAAACTTGCTTATAAGCACTTTATTGTGACGCTTATAAGCTCCCAAACAGCCCCGAAGAGCTTGATTCCAATGAAGAAATTTGTTATTTAACTTCTTTTTTTCTTTTTTCTTTTTTTTTCATGAAACAGGAGCTATTACAAGTGTACAAACCCAAGATGCAGTGCAAAGAAACAAGTAGAGAGGTCCATTGAAGATCCCGAAACCCTGGTAGTCACCTACGAGGGTCTTCACCTTCACTTCACCTTTCCAATTTTCGAGGCCCAGCCCAATAACCAGCTCCCACAGCCCAGCACTCCTCCAATCAAGAAGCAGAAGAGGGCAATCCTAGAAGCCCAATTTCCAACCGAGGAAACCCAGACAAACGCAGACAACATCATCAGTACTGACCCACAACAACAACAAGATGAAATGACGAAACCACAAGATTTTGGGCCGCAAGGGTTGCTGGAGGACATGGTGCCATTGATGATCAGGAATCCGACGTCGTATAGTAACGTTCCCTCCCATTCTTCCTCTTGTTCTTCTTACCTCTCTCGTTCTCCTCCTGCGTCGCCTTCTTCTCTGTCTTGGTCCCCTAATTACGCTCCATGTTTTGACGTTGGAATCAACACTGGGATTAGGTGATCAACTACTCGGCAGCTCCCCTTCTTGTGATGAATAATGTGCATCAACGTCGGTAGTTACATATATAGAGATTATTGGTTTAGAATATAGTAAATGTATAATTAATCAATCTCACAATCAAAGTTGTTCCAATGCTATTCTGTTTAGATAAATAAATCTTAAAGTCATTGTCGTATTCATGTTAGCATTACCTTTTTGATTTGTTACAGTTTGTTTGATTTATTAATTTTGAATAACTTTGATATATAAATTAATATATAGTTAATAATGTTTGAATTTATAGATAATGATAAATTTCAATTATTAGATGTTTACTAAAAAAATATTAGTAAAAAATACTCCATTAATTAGTTTACAAGTTACAAGATATCTATATTCTAATCAAGTCTAAGTGTCTGGATTTAAATAAGTTGAAACTTCTATTTTCACTTATTATTCGCAAAAAAAAAAAAAAAAATTCCCTCTTCTCCCAAATTTTCCCATTTAAAAAACCAAAAAAAAAACAAAATATCTGTGTTCTTATGGATTTCATGATATTTATGTGTCCAATATTCATTCCATAAAAACACCTTACTACATTCATGAAAAAATCTTCATAAGTAAGGGTAAAAGTGTACTTTAACATCAACGAGGCCGTTAGCAATTCTGCGTACGAGACACGAGCTCGGCTCTTTCCCATTGTTCAGGTTTTTCCTTTACCGTTGTCGTTCCCAAAAAAAAAAAAAAAACAAACCGGGTCTCTCTTCCAATTGGACTTGGTCTAGAGTTTATTTTCTCGGCGACCGAACAGTGCCGGACTCATTGGCGTTTCACTCTCGTCTCCGATTCATGCCGCCATGAATTTCTGCAAGGTCGCCTGCGCCGCCTTATCTCGCTCCGGACGCTCTAGACTCCAAACTCTCCCGCGCCAATCCACCACCTGGGCGGTGTCATCCAATGAATCACTGTTGTGCGATCGCCCGGGCAATGCCTCAATTTCGAGCGTCAATGGAGGTTTAGGGCTCGTGAGGGGTTATTTAACCTCTGCTGGAGCCGGGGAACACCTGGTTTCAAATACTCGATTGTCGCATTTGGATTCGATTTCGATTCTTGCAAATCCTAGGGTTCGGCGCTTTTTCTGCAGTGAAACACCTAAGAAGAGTAGTGAGTGTTGTTTCAGTTTTTTTATTTTCTGTTTTTGGTTTCTGCTTTTTAAGCTTACAATCTCCTTTTTTTTTTTTTGCGGAAAGGAAAGAACTTTTGTTGATTCCTTTGAATGGCTTGATGTAGAGTATGAAAATTACCGTCCAAAGAACAAGGCTGGAATTCCAAAAGAAAATAAACAGAAATCCCAGTCCAAAGGTAACTCATTTGTTTTCCGTTTTATTGAGTGTGATCATTTTGCTTTTTGCTCACATGAATTTTGTTGTCTGATTTTGACATTGGCAAATGAGAGCCAAGCATGAAATTTAGCGTTATTGTGTTTCCCTTTGAAATTTAATGCAACGAATCTCATGAAATTTTAGGGGGAGAAGCAGGTGCTGATGAGGAGGCGAGAAAGCAGCAGTTTATCAATACAACTGGTCCTTTATTGATCTTTGCCCTTATATATTATTCAATATTTATGGGTCGCCATGAGCAGGAGGAGGTTGGCATCTTTTAATAATCTTTCAGAAACTTCTTTGACTGCTTCTTGAAAGATATTAGGTAGTGCCAACATGATAAACCCCCTCCCCCCAACCCCTTTATGTTTTTAAAATGGATTTGTGTGACAATGTAAACATTATGTTACATGTCTCTGTTTTATTGATAATTTCTTGCCTCTTCTCTGATATAGCTGCTAGGAACATGAACTGTTTAATTGTTCACATACTTGCAAAGTTACTAAGCATGCATTATGATGACTATAGATGATGACCTTGCAGTGTACATGGACATTTTCTTAGTTCCATTCTAACACATCCAAAAGAGAGATTTGTATGATTCTTATAGCAGTAATGCAGTAAACATACTCTTTCAATCTTGTTTGTCCATTTTTGGACAACGTGTGAGTACAGAAAAAAAAAAAAAATTAAGGTCAAGATATTAATTTGGTTTAGGCAGCTTTGCAAATTGCTTGCAAGTTAACAGTAATGTACAGGGAAAAACATGACACCACTATTGAAAAGGTTACTATTATTTTGTAAAAATGCATGTCATGGAATAAGCGGAGATTTCTTTTAAATTTTCTGCCACATTTTGGTTTCAATTTTTTTTTTTCTCTTATCAATCTGTTATTTTCCTCTCCTTTATGCTATTTTCTCTATTCTTCAGATTAGTTTCCAAGAGTTCAAAAACAAACTCCTTGAACCTGGTTTGGTTGATCGAATTGTTGTCTCAAATAAATCAATTGCAAAAGTGTTTGTGAGAAGCTCTCCACAGATTGCAAATGGAAACACTGATGATGCTGTACAAGGTCCTAATGCTGGTGGCCCTGCCAGAAGAAATGTGAGCCAGTACATGTATTTCTTTAGCATAGGAAGTGTTGAATCATTTGAGGAGAAGCTGGAGGAAGCCCAGGAAGCATTAGGGAGAGACCCTCATGATTATGTTCCTGTTACATATGTGTCTGAAGTGAACTGGTTTGATCAACTGATGAGTTTTGCACCAATAGCATTGTTCTTAGGGACTCTGTGGTTTATGGGACGAGGGGCCTCTTTTAGTATTGGTGGTTCGGGGGGACGAGGTGGCCGTGGAATATTCAATATTGGAAAAGCACATTATACAATAATGGATAAGAATGCGAAGAACAAGGTTAACCATTTTAAATGTTCCCTTTTGACTCTTAATACTGCTCTCAACTCAAATTTTCTATCAATATATCCATGTCAAAATAGTTGAATGTGTTTATCACCATTATAATCTCTGACTTTTTATTAACTTTGTAGGTGTTGTTTAAAGATGTAGCTGGATGTGACGAGGCAAAGCAAGAAATTATGGAGTTTGTGCACTTCCTTAAGAACCCAAAGAAATATGAGGAGTTAGGAGCAAAAATTCCTAAAGGTGCGCTTCTTGTCGGCCCTCCTGGCACAGGGAAGACACTTCTTGCAAAGGCAACTGCTGGTGAATCAGATGTGCCTTTCCTTTCAATGAGTGGCTCAGATTTTATTGAAATGTTTGTTGGGGTTGGTCCCTCAAGAGTCAGAAACTTATTTCAAGAGGCAAGAAAGTGTGCTCCCTGTATTATATTTATTGATGAGATAGATGCAATTGGTCGAGCAAGAGGCCGTGGACGCCTTTCAGGTGGAAATGACGAGCGTGAGAGTACTCTTAATCAGTTGCTTGTAGAAATGGATGGGTTTGGAACAACCTCTGGAGTGGTTGTGCTAGCTGGAACAAATCGGGCTGATATTTTAGATAAAGCACTGTTAAGGCCTGGTCGATTTGATCGTCAGATCACAATTGATGCGCCTGACATCAAGGGTCGTGCCGAGATCTTTCAAATCTATTTGAAAAAGTTAAAACTTGATAAAGAGCCATCTTTCTACTCTCAGAGACTTGCTGCTTTAACTCCTGGTTTTGCAGGAGCTGACATTGCAAATGTTTGCAATGAAGCAGCATTGATTGCTGCAAGGAACGAGAGTGCAGAGATCACTATTGAACATTTTGAGGCAGCTATAGACAGGGTAATAGGTGGTTTGGAAAAGAAGAATAAGGTATGTTGTTCCTTTCATACTGTACCTAATTTATTTAGTTTAGCATGACATAAAATTTTTACATCTTGATCACTGATGATTCAGTCTCATCTCTAGATTGTCCAAAAATTTTCAAATCTATTCTGTGACTGAATCTTAGGAAATGTTTGCATCAAAACCTTTTGTCTCCTGGCATGCAGGTTATAAGCAAGTTGGAAAGGAGAACAGTTGCTTACCATGAATCAGGACATGCTGTTGCTGGTTGGTTCTTGGAACATGCAGACCCCTTGCTGAAAGTAACGATTGTTCCTCGTGGTACAGCAGCATTAGGGTTTGCTCAGTATGTTCCAAATGAAAATCTTCTAATGACCAAGGAGCAGCTTTTTGATATTACTTGCATGACACTAGGTGGTCGTGCTGCTGAGCAGGTGAATTCTGAGCTCCTAGTCAGTCACCCCCCCCCCCTCTCTCTTCTCTTCCTCTCACATTTTTTAATCTTTTATCCCCCTTTCATGGTCCATTTAAGACAAACCAATTGAGATAATCAATGTTGATATTTCCATTTGGGTGGTGTAGCGAGTAAAAGCCTGCACATTTGGCAGTAATCTCTATAACCTTTCAGCAGTGTGTGGGTTTTTGCATGAAAAAGTTATCTAGTGCATCAATTTGATATTTTAATCTTTGGGCTTTCTCATTGAACTATTTCAACTTTCTGTGACCAGGTTTTGTTGGGGAAGATTTCAACTGGAGCCCAGAATGACTTGGAGAAAGTGACCAAGATGACCTATGCCCAGGTGGCAGTCTATGGTTTCAGTGACAAGGTTGGTCTTCTTTCTTTCCCTCCAAGTGATTCATTTGAGATGAACAAGCCTTACAGCAGCAAGACTGGTGCTATCATTGACAATGAAGTTAGAGAGTGGGTGGCAAAGGCATATGATCACACACTGCAGCTGATAGAAAAACACAAGGATCATGTGGCTCAGATTGCAGAGTTACTGCTTGAGAAGGAGGTACTACATCAAGATGACTTGGTCCGGGTATTGGGAGAGCGCCCATTTAAGTCAAGTGAGCCCACCAATTACGACAAGTTTGTGGAAGGCTTCCAAGTAGACAAGGCATCTAAGGAGACCTCAGATGGCAAAACCGAGTCAGAACCTGATGTTGTGCCTGCATAGGTCTTCAATACATCTAAGTATGCAAAACTCTTTTTTTGTTAAGTTTATTTACAGACAATCTTATCTACCCGGGACTGAGTTGTACAAAGTATCCAATGCGGGAATGACATATTCATTCAGGAAATTAAACTGATTTTCCTTTCATAATCTTCATGTTTTTCAAGCCAGAGCAACTGATGGACATGAATGATTTCCACATATAGAGTACTTTTCAATCATATTTATTATACATTGACAACTCGGAAATTTTTGGACTTGGCTATAGAAGCCTTTAATTTTACGAGGACGGGATAAATGAGACCACAAATCATTTTTTAAGGCTTTGCGGTCGCGTTCAATTTTTGCGATGGTGATGTTGAAACAAACTTGTGGTGTGCGTTTACACCAAGATACGAATGATTAAGCCTATTTACTGTGTTTTCAAGACTTTTATGTACACACTTTATGGAACCCTAATATCAACCTCACGTTTCACTTCATGGTTCCGAACAATATCTGTCCATCCCACATTGGTCCCAAAAACAGCAAAGCATAGAAGGTGACAAAAGAGAGTGACTCCACCTTTACAGCCACATAAACCCCTCATATCTCTTTCAAAGTCAGTTGAGTAAGATCATGACTATTGACTATGGTATAATTAAAGGAATTAAGCCTTTAGGTCCAATGGTTCGCCCTCAAGTCTTAGTGCTTGGGTGAGACGGTGGTCAAAGTTTCAAACTCTATTATCGTCGTGAACTCCACTAAAAAACGACTTAATGGCTGC